CACAGTGGTAGCAGAGTGGACGGTTATCGGACGTACGCCACACGCTGGCCTTCGTGGCGTTCTGCCACGATCCAGACGGACGATAAGTTGGTGCACTCGGAAACCTTGAGGCGAGTGGCAGAGTCCAAGAGGTGCCTTGGAATCGATGGCTAGCCTGATCCATTCTCCCCATGGTGGGATCAGGGCCATGTGGTGCAGGAGATCGCAGAGCCGCCGCATAAGTCAGCACAGGTGCCTCAGGCCTTGTTGGCGCGAGTGAGGTGACCACCTGTCGGATCTCATTTCGGATTAAGTCTGGGAGAGCATTTACGGGTGGTTGGGGTCCTGCTGCTTGGAGTTGGCGCAGCTCGTCCTGCCAACGCTTATGAACTCTGCGAGGGCATATTTATCGGTGTCAAGCCCGATACAGCATGCAGCAGTGGTCACGTCGTGGCGTTCATACTGTGACGACCGATGCTGGAGAGTACGCTCCATTGTGGTTGCCTCATTTATGAACTCAGCCACAGTCGTCGATAGATTGCCCACGAGTACGGCAAAGAGCTGCTCTTTTACCCCATGCATTAAATGCCGCACCTTCTTTTCCTCGGACATTGCAGGGTTGGCACGCTTGAAGAGTCGAAGCATGTCCTCGACAAACATCGAAACTCTCTCGCTAGGTCGTTGGTTTCGAGACGAGATGGCCTGCTACACTCTCTCCTCCTTTCAGTGCTGCAGTACGCATCACGAAACTGTCGGCTGAACGTCGCAAAGGAACCCTCATCATTCTCATACAACGTTTTGGCAGAGTCTTCTAACGCAAAGTAAACTCTCTGCAGCTTGAGAGCTTCATCCCATTCGTTGATGTTGGCAACTCGATCGAAGTGGTCAAGCCAGTCATGAACATCTTCATAAATGTCTCCATGAATTGAGCATGGCGTTTGCGGCGCATGAAAAACATGCGGGAGAAAAGAATAGGCGTCGTTGGTTTGACTCGCCTGGTTAATAGTCGAAGTTGCCATCTCGTCTTGAGAGAGAGAACCGTATTCGGGAGATAGTCCTCGCAGGCAGCGTCTGCTTCTTGCCGTGGGAGCTGTAGCTGTATCCAAGTAGATCGGTGTGTCGGCTGAAAATCTGCAGCAGAGGCGCATTTACCCAGCACCTCCACCAGTGCCACGAACGAAATAGCAGACAGCGACAAATCGACGTTTGCTCGCCCCCCAGACCAGGAAGCAAAGTCCTCTTCTTTTCTTCACTTCCAAGCGATTTCACGCTACAGTTGATGGCTCATACCCATTACCTGCGACAATATTCTTCGTGAATACATAAATCCTCTGCTTTGCTTACAAGAGCAGTGTAAAAGCCACAATTTTCGCTACTTGTAATCTTATTCACAAAGCTACCGCTGCTCAAAACTTCCCCTCTCCTTGAACCCTATAATTAGAAATGTTATCCAACGTTACCAGATTAGGTTTAGGTTTGAAACTCTGACTGCGTGAACTAGCCAAAATTCTCCCATCTCGTGACACTGCTGTGCCTTTCAGCTCGGTCAGCACAGCGCCGTCGGTGTGGCAGAGCACTCTGTCCATAGCTGTAGCGCGGGGTTCGGCATTGTGTTAACACTTGTTCAGCTCCACTCTTTTTGCAATCGTCATACTCTAACCTAGTATAGTACATTGACATAAGGACGTTACTCAGGACGTTGCCATAAGGTCCGCAGTGATGACGAAGTAGAGGGCGCCGCCTCATATCGGTTGTCTGCAAACGCCACTTGCGTTGCACATTTTTTGGCACTTCGCGAGTGGCAAGTGCGCTGACAATCGTAATTAATCGCGCTGTGGCCAAATATGACCGAATTAACAAGGTTGATGCCAATGAACAATACATACGCTTGCCTGGACCGGAGAATGTATTCAAATTACCTTTTTTTTCCAAATTAACGAGGTTTTACTGTACTTCACAGCATTCCAGTTCGGGATTAGGGTTCACACGTCTTTCCAGTCAAAAGATGTACACACCCCTTCCACTTGACTTTGCTGCGTCTCGTTTGATTGAAGGAGCACTTGTACTTCAGCCGTTGATCTATTTAAAAAGGCAACCAACGGTGGCTCTTCTGCAATAATAATAATAATAAATAATATTAATATTACTGATAGTAATAATAATTAATTATAAAGACTTAAATTTTCATTCCAAAGAGCTTCTATTTACATTAATACCACTCATATGAGAATGTTGCTTGACCTATTGTTTACTTTGTAACGAGAAGGATGTAATTAATGCTTTCAAAATGGAACATATCTAATTAAATGACAAGAAACACATTTTCATTTGAAAGTTGGGAGATTCACAAAATCTTGCATACAATGGTGCTAAGAGCTACTGCAGGCACTTATAGAACTTATGTCTCGCTTTTGTTTATCTCGTAAGAGCGTACGAACATCAAAATTTCAAGCGTAAGTTGAATTAGAATTATGAAGACAAAAGTTTAAATAAAATTAATTAGCAATTTATTTACAGAATGCTTAGAAGGTGTGCAGTCAAGATTTTAAAATTACATAAAAAATATACGACCCAAACCACCAAGGAATAGGCAAAAGGAAAAGGCATCATTCTCGTAACATGCACCGACTAGCCCAACAACAAGTTTTACCAAACGATTTTTCTTTTCCCTGGTATGCCGTGTTAACTCTCCACATGTTAAAGGTTTCATCGCTGAGCATCAGGAAGCCAGTCCAACCACAATGGACATTGTCCCGACGAGTCAACGCAGTTCCACTGAGTTTGCAAACTCTCATGTCCTGCATACCACCCAGTAAATCAGAGAGATCACTTTCGGGGTTGCTGGAGATTGTGCACACATCACTGTTTTCGTTATGGGAGTGGCGGCCGCGAACCTGCCAATGACAGAAGGAAGAGGAGGACGACGATCGCCGGTGTGGCCGTGGCAGTGGGCAGTTGCGGCCCGAGTTCCGGTTAATAAGATGGTTCCAGGTCTGGCTCCGCATCTTCCCTGCAGGGTTCCGGGCCAAGCAGCTTCGAAACCCCCTACAATTGGCGCCCAAGGGGAAGAACCCTGCCCGTGGGCCACGGACATCAAGTTACCTGGCAGTCTGCGACCATGGCCTTGACGACCCCGCTGACCGTGCCCACTTTTTCCGGTTAAGACGCGAGGGAATCGGTCCTCGACTTCATTGACAATCTTTTCGTGTTAGCAGCTTCTCAGAGTTCGGCGTGCTCTAGCAGGTCCTCCCAGTTGCTCTGCGTAGTACCGCACAACGATGGTGGCTGCTTTAACGACCCTTTCAGTCCTAAAACCAGTTTGTCGCAGCATTCCTGGAAACGTTGCCACCGGTCGCCTACGACTACCGTATCCGGCGTGAGCTCTACACCTGAACGCAATGCCCAGAGGAGGGTCTGCGAGGTTAATGCGGGCCATGCAGAAGCGCATCCATCGGGCGGCCCCACTGCACCTGCCTAGACGCCGTTGATGCAGAGGTCGTTCATGACGTGGACAATGCTGATGGCATGTGGCAGGAGTGCGCTGAAGGTGGTGGAGGGGAGCATCACGTCACGGACAACCCTGCAGTGCATGATGAGACGGTGCATGATACCCAGAACTGCAGCGCGAAAGACGGTGCCCAGGCTGATGGCACTGAAAACGAATGCAACGCTGCGACCACGGAAAATGGCATCTGCAAAATGTCAGCGCTCATTCACGGCGACGAGCTCGAGGCACTTCATGGGTAAGAAGCATCAAGTGAAGGTCGAAGAATTCGTCAGGCAAGGAAAGCTAAAACCAGACAGGAATAATGCTGGAGCCAAAGGTCCAAAGCACGTTGACAAGTGTGTACACTCTGGAGCTTCCACCTCACGCACCAAGCAGCAGGCCAGCCGTAAAGGCGGTGGGACCTACAAGGACAGCATGAGAGGCTGGCAGCTCCTGAGGTCACACATGGAATTGTGGGCTGACTGCGCCGGTATGTGGTCTTACGCGTTGTGTGCGGTCCGTCATGGCCAAGGCTAGCAGCTACTGCATCACGTCTCTCTCTCTCCACTTTTGCCGAAGGGGAGGGCACAGTATGGGAGCGGCGGCCGCGAGCCTGCCAATGACAAAAGGAAGAGAAGGACGACGATCGCGGGTGTGGTCATGGCACACGGTAGCGGCTGGCAGCAGGCAGGTGCGGCCTGGGTTCTGGTCGATAAAGAAGGTTCCTGGTCTGGCTCCGCGTCTTTCCTGGGATGTCAGGGCCGAGCAGCCTCGAAACCTTCTACAACGTGTACCACAAGCAGATGGCAGATTTGTCACTATTATGTTGCGAATTGCTGTCACCACCATGACACGTCGCGAAGTCACCTCCGCGATATCAAAACCAAAAGTGTCTTTTTAAAGTGACGGTATTAAAAATAAACATGGCGTATTCCCATGCACCGCACTCTTTCAGAGTTCTCAAATCCGCATTCTTATACAGAGCAACAGTCCCAAAATATTTAAAATTTGTGTCAGCCCTACTTTAAGCTGCGTCGAAGGCATTATTGCCACGGAGACAGTTTGAGTACTATGCATTGCATTTTTTATAGCAGTAAACAACAAAATACATAAAACAATGTAAGTAAGGCAAAACCGACAATAAATAAACATTCTCTAAGCAGATAGAAAGCTCAAACAAAACGGGGGCAACAATTCAAATATTTCTTAATATGGGTTATACAGCCGACCTTTACAAAAAAAAGGTTGTTTTCGGCAACCATAAATGAAAAAGTACATAATACAGCAAATAATGTACAAAAACTTTATAAATTGTACAGCACTATTTGTTGGCAATGTAAACAAACCTACGCCACAAGTTCGAGTTTGCTGGTTGCTGGCACGTGCCTTGCACTTATTCTAACTGCAATTTCCTCCTTTGTCCCTGCAACTTCGTGTATGCTGGCAGTGCTGTGATGTGAGAACTGCGTACCTGCTCTCATGCGCAGCATGTGCATCACAGTTTTGAGTGGTCGCCGTGGCCAGCTGTGCTTACCTCTCTCTGGAAACTGCTTCTGCTGAGGTTGGCACTCTGAAATGAAAACAGAGAGGGGTGCTTTAAACACGTCTCTAAACAAACGAACATCGTGCACTCACACAAACAGTTTCCAGCAGTGATAAGTCGGTATTAAGATACCTACTTCAAAAAAAAAAGCAAGGTGATATATTTTTGTGTTAGCGCTCCTTTGAAGGACCACTCCTCAAGTTTGACAATTTTGAGCTGACGAGCGCAATGCATACATGGGCCGTTCACGATCAGTTCTGCCAAATTGTGCAACACTACGTGCCGGGAAACTGGTTTAAATTTCAAGATGAACGCTGCTTGCCCTTCCTTTCATGCACGTCCACCCTGAGAATAAGGGAATGACGTAGACTACAGAATTGCCCAGTGTAAATGGTATGCTGTGATGTCAGTCCTCTGCATAGAGGACTGATCTGATGTCGCCAACAGTAGCACGTGAGACAGCAAAATTTATTTCAAAAATGTGTAGTTTGTGTAATTTATTGCCTGAATATATGAATAAAACTTGAGATAAATAATGAGACACACACACAGGGAATGTGTGCGTCTTTTTCATTTTTTTCTCGTGAATTGCAACGAGATGCGGGGCTAATGTACCTGCATTTTGAGTGCGTTCGTGTCCCCACTGTTAATGCATCGAGCAGACGCCAGCCCTGAAAACTAAATTAATAGTCCTGCACATTCGAGCACTCAATATGCGAATCTATTCTAGCGTGTCTATACCAGCATCTCTAAATCCATCCCGCAGAAACAGGCACTAGACCACAAAATAATGGTGGTCAACAAAACAATGCTGCCCGCATCTTCTCGGCGGAGGGGCTTGCTTGGGGACGTCATGCACATGTGACCGTTTGCTCGGATGCCAGAGAGGATAGAGAAGAGATTTAGCTTGCAAAGGCAACGTGGGGCAAGCAGCATGGGATTTGAGCTCGTCTCCTCGCATCATCTTTTTGCACCGCTTCAAAATGCCACTTTTTTCAGCTCGTAATGAATTGATTGAAACATTTTTTGTGGCATAATGCTCTTCATCAGACACCAACAACTGCCACGGCCCAACTAGGGGACCTGGCGAGTAACCCTTCAAATGTCCAAGTTTTTCAACAGTGCAATGGGTGAGGGAATGTGATAACGGATTCTACCTTGTCATTACGTTGAAAGTCGGGCAAGTTGTTATGGCAGCATATCCTGAAAACAATGTGCAGCAGGACAGGACACATACAAAAAAAGGATAAACAGGAGACAAAAAAGGTGCCCACAAGCTACAAGTTGTGCTTTTTTGTCCCCTTTTTTTGTTTGTCCCATGCTACTTCAGTCTTTTCAGAAGATTATCACCAGCTTGTCAATTTATGCATCAAATTCTGCAAGATTGACAACAAGTAGATAGCCCTTGTGCCAATTAAAATACCAGTTATCAAGTTTTGTGGCATTCGAACATTGGAAGTGCCACGTGTACGAAACATTCACACATCTGTACCAACAGGAATCTCGCCGTGAAAATGTCGAGGAATCTGTCATTGCAGTATGCAATCCTAAAATCCTGATGTAACTTTTAATGACGGTAATAGTACTAATATGCATAAAGGTGCACCTTTGATTGGCTGTGGCACATTCGCTGGTGGGCAGGCGTTGTAGAAACCTTGAATTCGTTTCTCAATTTGCGTCGATACATGGTGTATCTTGGGGACTATATTAGCCTCTGTTGATTTGGACACGGTTTTCTCACACGATGTGTACTGGTTGCGCTGCAAAGAACGGTTATATTGAGCGACTTCTGTTGGTCAAGCCGATGATGCAACCTAGTGGCAGGAAAAGCAGAATGTGATATAAGGCATCCAACAATGTCATTAACTGCAAAAGCCGATTTCACTACATTGAACTGGGAATTAGTATGCCTGAAGATTGCGCTTTAAATGTAAGTGGGAATGAGCGTCTACAAGGCAACCGAGAAAATACTGGATACTAGACAAAAAACGCTAGACACCAAAATAAATCCAAGAGAGATAACTTCGTTGGAGTTCAATGTCCCAAAATAATATGACCACGAGAGATGTCACAGTGAAGGGCTTGACAAATTTTGACCACCTAGGGACATAAGTCATGCATTTAAACCCGAGTGCATGGGCCCATGTCATTCTCGCCTTCATAAAAAATTTCCACAGAGATTTGATTCTGTGACCTCAGCAGTGGGACACCACAGGGAACATTTCTTGCTTTATCTGTCTGGTAACAATTATGATAGATTAAAATGACTTATAGTGGGTACAAATCCACAACTTTCGAATTGGAAGGCTGCGCTTTCGGGTCGTCTGCGCTCGCCATGGACGAAAGCTTTCCATCTTAAGGACTTTCTCTCCTCACCTCGGATTTTCCGGCATGAAAACATGTGCACCGGTGCGAGCATTTAATTTTGTAAAAGCCGCAGCCACAACGAGGTTCTCAAAGAGGCTATGCGGCAGAAAGAGGGGTCAAAGGATGAAAGTACCACAAAGTACCTTACACTTGTTTATGTACTCGTGTACTTCAAAATGCAAGGCTGCGAAATAACAAAAAAATTGGCGCCTTCATCATTCTACAGGAGGGGGGGGGACTTGAGTAAATCCGTCGCTAAGTGGGGGGATAAGGCATGAATGTTGTGTCTACTCGAGTCAAGGAAAGCGTTAAGTCAAGCGCCAGGCAAGTAAAGACGCCCTTCACTCAATCCCGAACGCGCGCTCTGCGGCTTATATACACACCGCCCGCATTCGAGGAAGACGAGACGAGCCGAGCATGCGCAGTGGGGGTGCAGACAACGCAGACGCCAAAGTGCAACATCGTAAGACTAAGAAATCCTCCGCATTTAAAAAGTTCGCTCTAGCCGTCTGAAGCTTAAAAAACGGCAAAGCTGGTCAACGACCCACAGCACTTGCCAGCATTTCATGTGTTTTGCATTGCATCGAACCAAGCTTAGCGTGATAGATTACAGTTAAAGGGACCGACTATGCATTTTTTTCAACACAGTGTTTCCCGGCTTGCCTTTCGTAGTGTTCGTTGTGGCAGCAGTTAATCCCAAAAGCATGTAGTTGTTTATAAGCAGCATTTTTCGATCTGAAAGGCTCTGAATACTGATTTTCCTTTTTGTCCAGTGAGCATTCATAGTGATGGCGGTAGCCCTTCTCGTGACTTGTGCATGCTGTCGTTGTGCTTTCGCAGCAGTTCCCATAACTACACTTAGCCACATTTATTCTGAGCTTTACAACTATTTTTTAAAATAACAAGCCGTTACAATGAGATCATGTGGCTTTATACAACTTCCCTGTATTTGTACTGCATTGCACGTGCCTGTGTCGTGGATGGCTTGTCCCAGTCATCATTACTCTCTCAACACAGGAGCCAAGCCAAGTCACCAAAAATGTCACTGCACATATGCGCGGCCGTGCCGAGCAGAGGCACACGTTATTTCTGAGACAAAATGTAGGTATAAGAACCACGTCACCCCAAAATCTTAGTGACCTGTATACTGCATGCATGGTTTCATGAGCACGCAGAAATGTTGCTCAAGAAGCGCTGACGAGCATGGGATGATTACGTCATGCAAAGGCAACGCCACTTCAACACGTACTACTAACGCAGGCTTATATGTACATTTTTATGAAGTAATATCTTTTACTCTGAAGAAGCAAACAATCTTTCAATACCAGCAATAAAATATTGACCATGTATACTAGTCTACGATCACGTGACAGGGTACATCGAATAATAGTTTACGACTCCAGGTGACGCCACAGGCCATTTCTCACAATTTTCAATGAATAAATATCTAACTCCACTTCTCACGAGAAAAACAAGGTTGCTCTGAGTCACTATGAGGGACAATCTTTCCATTCGTGCAGTCATCTCGTTTCATGTTTTGGACAGTTGTCAGTTCATTTAAAAATTGCCAGGTCTGCACTGAACGAGCAGCCGAGTTGCAGCGAAAGCTAGAAGAGTGGCTTTTCAGAGCCTTTTCTAAACACTCTTTGGGTAACTGCTGCAAGTACGCTTGCTGGGTACCCACTAGGCCATAATCATAATGTTTGTGTAGATGGCCAGCATTCTCTATGCTATCTTTCGTCATTCTTCGGAGAATTGTAGTATCCGCTACTCACTTGCTAGAAATCTTGTGCAATTTTTTAATTCAGTGGCTGACGACATCAAAAAATTATGCCTGAAGGGGGTATGCACCACAGTTAATAGGTGATCAAGAACAAGTTTTCTAATGGGTTGGAACTCGCTCGTTACCCAGTTTGCATGGAGCAGTGCCTGGTTGTTTTTTAATGTTTTAAAACACTTAATTACTCATATTAGTGTGATTACTTCCCGACATCAAGCCTACCTAAGGCCAGTTTAGAAATGAGTTCTAAGCACTGGCGTGGCTCAGTGGTAGTATACTGGGCTGGCATGCAGCGGACCCGGGTTCGAATCCTATTGTGTCCTTCCTGTCTTTTATCTAGTTTTTTTTTTCTTCTTGCGAAACTGGTTACGGACACTAGCGGCAGAGAACTACGGCGCCGCACGTTACCGGTGTTTTGATCTCAACAGCCTTTGCTGTAAAACTACAGCCTGTCATGAGTACGGATCCAGAGGGAGGGTGATCGCTCCCCCACCCCCAAAACCTGTGTGAGCACCAGTCTCCCCCCCCCCCCTTTAAGAGTGCTTGTCCACCTCTTACCACCAATTAGAATAAACGAGTGGGACCATTTTGAGCACACATAACTCTTATTAATGCTTGACGGCTTCTTCCTGCTACTAAAAACAAAAATGTTAGGACCCCCCCCCCTCCGGAGTTACTTCAGGCCGCTGCCCCCCCCCCCCACATAAAATCCTCCTCTGCCTGCAACAGACCTAGGTCAAACCCCAAAGCCAGAATTGCGAGCACACCTGGATGTGGCCCCTCAGGGTAGAAGGGCGGGCCTTTCGTCACATAATTGTGCTCGGCTCGACTCACACCTGGCACACTTCGCTTGGCTTGCTTCCTCGCCGCGCTCGCTTCGCGTACCCGTCGAGCATAGTCGGGATCCGATCGCCGTTTACGGTTACTTTCTCGGGCCGCAGCACGCCTAGCTTCGAGGTAAACGGCCTCCTCTTCGGCTGTGCGAACTTTGCACGACCGACCCGTTGCTTTTGAATGTCTGAACCGTAGCCAGGTGGTGTTGCCTGAACACGGCCGAGCAAGCGCTGGCGCGCCCCTACAGAGAACATCTGGAGCTAGACGTAGACTTACATGGTTGCTAAGCGACAACTATGCCGACGTCACACCAGCTGCGCAGCATGGATAGGGTGGCTAGCATGAAAAGGTCTATTTGGCATGGAGGACAACTTTGCTGATAAACAACGGTGCGGATATCACTGTAGTTGCTGCACTCTGCCCGAACTCGATCTTGTTGGAGCATGGAGCACACCGATGACACGTGACGGTGCTGTTTGTCGTTGATGCTACTGCGGCCTTGGTCAGGTTGTTGTACAACCACAGTGGGTCGCATACCTTGCAGATGTGCCCGAAGCTCCTATCCAGGAACTCGCGCTTGAACTGCGCTGCCTTCGCCGCCGACTCGCATTGCCGCGCCGCTTCGAGATTCGCTGCTCGTTGTTTACGTTTCGCTTCGGCTTCGCGTTGCCGCTACGAGATCTGCTACTCGACGTTGACGCTTCAATTCGGCTTCCCGAGCTCGGAGAATGGGGTCCGCTAGCCGCCGTTTCCTTTCGGCTTCGCGAGCCCGAAGTTCGGGATCGGCACGCCGCCGCTCCCGTTTCGCAGCCCGAGCCTTCTTCTCCGCGGCGCGCTGGCATTCATCGCGGCGTTGCGCAGGGGAGGTGCGCGGGCTCTTACACCGTTATACACCGCCGAACTACCGTCCCCAGCGGAGTGTGCAGCTGTCTCACCACCTGTCATGCGCAGAGGGGAGGGGACCTAGAGGGGAGGGGACCCCACGGGAGGGATGGACAAAGCCCCCACCTAAATGTGCGGCAGCTTGGGCTAGTTGGTATGGCATGACGATAGTTATAGCGCGAGAACAAAACGACGACACAGAGACAAGTGTCTTTCGTGTCCTTCTTGTCTCTGTGTCGTTTTGTTCTCGCGCTATAACTATCGCCCCACCTAAAGCTGCTTGGCATCTAAATAGGCGCTGCGCAGTGCTCCCTACCGGTTGCCCTTCTAACCACCACCATCTAAAAAGTTCTTCCTTTAACTCACGTGCAACCTTGGATGTGGAACGCCGGCAGCAAGGCGGGCCTTCCATCGCTGATACTCCGTTAGACCGGTCAATTGTCGCTGATTTCGCTTCCGTGCCGCTTCTGCCTCGCGCCTTCGCTTAGCATACTCCGGGTCCAATCTTCGTTGTCGCTTCTTGATTCTTTCACTGGCCATGTAAACGGGATCTAATCGTCGTAGACGACAACGCTCACGATCCGCTGCACGCCGAGCCTCGCGGTAAGCGGCTTCTTCTTCGGCCGTGCGCTTCTTCCTCGGTTTACCCATGGCAAGCGTTGTAGGCAAACACGGCTAGCTCGGCGCCAGGTGTTCCGTGGCCAGGCCAGGCTCCGCGACTAATCCACACAACACCTACCACTTATCTCCGTCACGGACAGCAGGAAAGAAATCACTACTGCATGACAACAGCTTCGGTGCTGCCCTACTCTTCGTGGCTCGAGTTAGTTACTGTATAATGCTTTCAAGGTAGCATATACAGTACCTCTAGCTCGAGCGGGCGCGCTGCGCACTCTTTACATGTGCCCACAGAACACCTGCTGCCTGCCTCTATGGTGGCTAGAAGTAGAGGTGCCACTGTGCCAGCACCATCCCGGCCGCGCCTTGAAAGGAGACGTGCTGATATTTCATTCGGCCGTGGAGCGGCGCGCAAGTCGCCACCATGATCAGTCGAGAGCGCTTGTCAGCCGCTAGTGCGGCACTTTTAGTCGCTTGCTCGTGTGCTCGCAAGCTTCAAAGCTGGACCATCCGACGTCTCCTGAATCGCCTCGTTGGCCACTCGATAATGGCAACCGAGCGCTGCACGGCCGACCTCTCTCTGCTGACGCTCCAACCACTCCCGTGTCGTTGGCGATATGCACACTACCGCGTTTCCAAACGTCAGGCCCGGCACGTGAACCATCTTCCACAGGTCCCGGATCATCTGAAATCGGTTGCAACCCCATAGGCATCGGCGACGAAGGATTCGTTGAGCCTGCAACGCAGTCTGTCGAATCACAGTCTCGTGTAGACTATATTTTGCTGCATCCACACACAGGGTGACGCCCAGGTATCTGTAATCGTTGCGTGTGGCCAGCAGTTTCTCCTCCTAAAGTCAACGCTGCTGCATCGGTACTCCCTCCAGTTAGACGGACAACCGCCGATTTCTTAGTGTTGAATCGAAGTCCAAGACTCGCGAGTTCCGTCTGGCAGATGTCGAGGAGGGATTGCAACTCCTGGTTACTCTCTGCCATAACCACCAGATCATCTGCAAATGCCAAACCAGGCAGGTGGAAGTTCTCTTCAGCACTAGTTGTGCTGAAACGCATGCTGAATCCGAGGTTGGAGTTCAACAAGGCCCGCTCTATTCGGATGCGTATAGAATGTACAGCAATGGTGACAGTGGGCAGCCCTGCCTCAGACCCTTATTTACATGAATTGGGCCAGTAGTTATGGCACCCAACTGCACACTCACTACATTGTCACTGTACAACCGTTGTATAGTGGAGATTAGCAGCCGGGGCAGTCCAAGGTCAGACAGGCATGCAAAGAGAGGACCGTGCGGCACGCTATCGTACGCTTTTTCAACATCGAGGAAGCAGCACAACAGCGTTCTCCCTTCCTGCGAGCTATTTCTGCACACTGTGTGACGACGAACAGATTGTCATCCAGACGTCTGCCTGGCCTGAAGCCATTCTGAAGCTCGGTCAGTAGTCCCTTGGTTTCCGCCCAGCCACTCATCCATGCTTTGATGACCCCCGCGAACAAGCGATACATAACACTGGTGACCGTTATTGGTCTGTAGTCCTCTATGTTCCTCGCATCTCCGCCCCTTTTGGGGATAAGAATCACCTTCCCTTCATGCCATTCTTTAGGGATGGGCTCGCCTTCGATGATGGCCGTGAGGATCTCTGCGAGCTGTTCCCTCGAGTCTTCTCCCAAGCACTTTAGTACGCGCGCTGGCATGCCGTCCAGACCAGTGGCCGTTCCAGCCCTAATCCGCTTCAACGCCCGTTCAACTGTGAACCTTGAGAGGGCCCAGGTATAGACGCGGCGCAGTGCTCCCTACCGGTTGCCCTTCTAACCACCACCATCTAAAAAGTTCTTCCTTTAACTCACGTGCAACCTTGGATGTGGAACGCCGGCAGCAAGGCGGGCCTTCCATCGCTGATACTCCGTTAGACCGGTCAATTGTCGCTGATTTCGCTTCCATTCCGCGTCTTTCTCGCGCCTTCGCCTAGCATACTCCGGTCCTTCCATCGTTGTCGCTTCTTGATTCTTTCACTGGCCATGTAAACGGGATCTAATCGTCGTAGACGACAACGCTCACGATCCGCTGCACGCCGAGCCTCGCGGATAGCAGCTTCTTCTTCGGCCGTGCGCTTCTTCCCTGGTTTACCCATGGCAAGCGTTGTAGGCAAACACGGCTCCCTCGGCGCCAGGTGTTCCGTGGCCAGGCCAGGCTCCGCGACTAACCCACACACCTACCACTTATCTCCGTCACGGACAGCAAGAAAGAAATCACTACTGCATGACAACAGCTTCGGTGCTGCCTTACTCTTCGTGGCTCGAGTTAGTTACTGTATAATGCTTTCAAGGTAACACATAGAGTACCTCTAGCTCGAGCGGGCGCGCTGCGCACTCTTTACATGTGCCCACAGAACACCTGCCACAGAACACCTGCTGCCTGCCTCTATGGTGGCTAGAAGTAGAGGTCACTGTGCCAGCACCATCCCGGCCGCGCCTTGAAAGGAGGCGTGCTGATATTTCATTCGGCCGTGGAGCGGCGCGCAAGTCGCCACCGTGATCAGTCGAGAGCGCTTGTCAGCCGTTAGTGCGGCACTTTTAGTCGCTTGCTCGAGTGCTGGCAAGCTGCAAAGTCTGCGCTTTCCCTATTTGGAAAATAGGGAAAGCGCAGACTTTTTTTTTTTGAATTCTGAAGCAAATGCCTGGCTCGATTGATCACCCTTCGCCGACACAACTTTTGATATCTGTATATTGCCTCAGTTTATACAGTTCGACACAGTCCCCCTCCAGTGGAAACATACCTTCTGGAGTTCCGAGCAGCCTTCTATGTCCTGGCATCCACAGTGATTCAATAAAATTGCAGGATAACTGGATGAGCTGCGAGATTTGAGGCGCCTCAATGAGGTTCATGGAATTATTATTGCTCGTGAACCCCTCCCTGACCCCACTGATCTAATTGGACGCAAAAGTGGCTACCTGATCACTTATTACGTCAGTGGCTATGTGGCCCGGAAGGTGGTGAAAAATACGAAGTGCAACGAATGTAGCATGTTGTTGCTTTACTCAGAATTCAAGCTTGCTTCCGGCAGAATCATGGCTTCTGTACCCGTCCGAGTCCCCAAGAGACCTGTTCAAAGCTAAGGAAGATGTATTCGCCTATTGCTTCAGTTTCAACAAGTTGAAAAGTGACAGCATAACAGACCTTATATCTTGCTTGTCTATGAAGAAGTTAAATATGGTCGGCTGTGAACACCACAAATTGGAAGTGACAAACCAGATAATTAGATTCTTTACACTGACCAGAATGCATTTCCTCCTTCCTGGAGAAAATGCCCCCAATAAAAAAAGAAAAAAAGTGAAGTGTTAACTCAGCGAACAAGGTATTATTTTATGCTATTGAGTATTACTCATGCTCTGTTGTTTCTTGTGATTTTACTATTGTATTGTTCACATTGTTATAAATATCCCATCACCAACTGGGATGTCACTGTCTGGTTGTGTTTCACATATATAGAAATCAATTGTTTCGTGAACTGGTTTGTGACTGTACCTATGTTTGCCAATGAAATCTCAATGTGATGTGTGTATGTATGCCCATTGTATCATCGTATATTTACTGTTCTCCTTAGTTGTCTTATTCACTTGCTTTAGCTGAGTTTCATATAACTTGCAGTTTTCTTCAACCATAATGCATATGTTGTGTTTATTTTCATGTTGTTTTTGCTCTCGAGAAAATAAATGTCTTGCTTGTAAAATTAAATCTTGATTGCGCAAGTCATAAAAATAACGGCTGCCGATACCTTTACGTGCATTGAAACCACGGAGAACACTGCGGCATCAAGTTTTAAAACTGCACGGACTTTGTTTTGGTGTCAAGTTCACGGCAAGTCACTTGATTCTCTATCTTCTAAGCTTCGTAGCTGATATACTACGAAGTGAATTGAAAACACTAGTTTTCAGTGCCAATACGTGCTTTGCAGCGCACCGTCAGAATTGTGACTCGTGGACTTTGTTATAATCCGCAGGGTAGCGTGAAATATTTGCAACGAAAAACGACTGATGCGCGGGCGCGAAAAGGAAGCATCTCGAAAGCGAGCACAGCGCCGCCGCGTCCTGATGAATTTTCGCTCGCTCTTCGGTGCGCCGATGCTGACACCTCTCCTTCTAGACACTCGCGGCCAGTGTTGCCAATTGTCTGAAAGCAAAAGTAGCTAGATAGTTGTGTAAAAGTAGCTAAATATTTTCAGCATTTTGAAAACAATTTTGAGCATGTTCTCCTCATGCAATAAGTTTATTGTCGGCCTTGTCATCTCAAAGATTAGAGACAGCTGTCACATTACGTTTTCTTGCAGGCAGAACATGATTTAGCAACAAAACAATGTACGCCTGTTTTAACCCCTATAGTGTTTGCAGACTTTTTAACGCGCTCGCCAATTACGAGCTGCGAATGTAATAGTGTAACGCGGACTGAAAGAGCGAGAAAGAAGAAG